CAATATAAAAATTGAAAATAATTTTTTTTCTTTATTTGTGTCATGGATATTCTCGCTTTTATATTCTGATGCCGACATAAGATTTTTATATTTTTTTCTTGTCGACATAAAACTGTAAGAACTGATGCTTCAGAACTTTTTAAGCATTATTTGTGTCTTATGAGCACTAATTGAATCAATTGAAAAAAGTCAGACTGTAATAATGGAAGTGTATTGGAATTGCTAGATTTTTACTCGTCAATTATGAATTAGACAAAATGAAACATTGAAGATAACAAGCAGCATTTAAAAAAAAGCTTAATTTGCATAAATTTCCGGCAACGAACCTTCAAGATTTTTTTAATTTCCTTATTTTACATTCCACAACATCTCAGTACTATTTATAAATACAAATAATGGACATCAATCAAAAAAAAAAATAATAATGCAATAATAACCTCGTTATTTTGAATACAAAACGTCAATTAACTAATTTATTGAGTTGTGTTGTATGACATTTGACACTAAATTGATTTCATTGAGTTCCGATTGTATTTGATATCAGACGATAAAAACATTGAGCGAATTATTGACAAAAAAGAAAAGGCGATAAGTTCTGAGTATCATTGAGAGCTTTTTTTTTTTTGAACAATTCAATCAAATTTATTGACTAAAGACAGGCTTGTTGTGTAGAAAAGGTGGAGCACAACAAGATTGTGCTCATTCAGAGATGTTAAAAGAGTAAAAACGTGTTGGTGTCAAAATAAATTCCTTTAAGGTCTTACAAGATAATTTAAATTGCCATTAGCTATTATTGTCTCCTAAAAATCCATGTTTAACTCTAGTCAAATCTTTATCCCTTTATCCCAAAATCCAACTCTATTCGCATGAAAGCTTGTTCATCGCTCCCGAGAAAATTTATCCAATCCAATAAAATTTATCGTCATGTTCTACAACCTTGTAGAATGAAAAATACAACAGTAGAGAAATCTTTTCCTTGTTCAACAAGATGATTTCGTTTAAGACACGATTAATTAATTTTATAAGTACGTAGATTCAGAATCACCATGAGATTGCGAAAAAAAAATATTATTTTTCAGATTTCAGTGCTTGTGGGGAGATTAAGTTTTTGTGCAAACGACGCAAATTGTCACTTTTTTTGTGTGTTCATCAAATTGGATTTACATACGATTATTGAATTGGACATTGTTGAATTAATGTCGGTACGAACTATGGAATGGGATTAACTATCAGAACAAAAACTAAAGGAAACAAAAACCAAAACCAAATGAGGCATTAATTTACATTTTGAAATAATCAACACTTAATGTTCATTAATTGACCTTCTCTTTAGATAAAAAAAAATAAAGTTCGTACACATGTACTTTATTTTTTGCCAGTAAGCCTAACAAACCCACATTATCAGAACACGAGCTAATCAAGAAGAAGAGAATAAAAAGTTTCTCTAAAAAAATCTCATTTTCAATTCATTCATAATAAATACATCAGCACAAAGCTTTATGAGCTCTCTTTTTACGGTACATCATTAAAGTATATCCAATAAAGGAAAAAAAAAGTTTGTTGTGAATATGAAGAAGTTTATTTTGTGTATAAAATTAACCTTGAAGCATATCGAGCACTAAACCCTTCAGAAAGTTAAGAATATTTTATCAAATTTATTTATTTTAACATCCACACAGATTTGAGTAACCACTGTTGTCATCTCTGGGACTTTTTGGATTGTTTTAATCTATAGCGGTTGCCTGTCGGGATGTTAAATTCTAGGAATTTTTTTTTTATCTTGTGGATAGGATTTCAAAAAGATTATTTTGTTGCTAAGCTTCAAACTTCTTTACTTGTCAAAAATCTGTTATTTATTTTCATGCCTAAAATTTTCTCAGATCCTGAAAAAAAAATCTTGTGCTCATAATTTCATTTTCATTTCACTTAACTCTTGCCACATTTCAAATTAATTGCCTGCAGAAAGCTTTTAAAAACTGCTCATTTAATTTATATAAATTGTAAAAAACTTTTTGAAGTGGGAACATCAATGACATACAGTTAAATTATTTTTTCTGGCTTAATAGAACAGCTTTTTGATGTTTCTACGTCAGTTAATGTTTTTTTTTGGTTTTGAATATTAAAATTCTTTATTAAACTTAAATTGCATGATTAAATTTCTAAGAATTGCTAATTTGCTTCGCTTTTAGTACAGATTAAAGGTTATCCATGACTTCCCTTAGATGTATTCTGTAATTTAACTCCCGCTTGCTAGCTTTTAATACCACATGCAATACAATCTTTATCTACAGCTTCTCTTTATTCAAAGGAAGGCTATGAGCTTCATTTCCAGTACATAGGATAAGCAAAAAAATTCCCATGCTAAGTCTCAAACCCATGACCGCTGTGTCGGTTTAGCAATAATTAGGTACCGAAGTACTAAACCATTCCTACACCAAGCCAACTCAGCTCACGAGAATTGCTAATATCTACTTAAATATGTCAATTAATAATGTGAATAAAACAAAATGCGCCATAATATCCTCATAATTATAATTTCCTGTATACTTACACACTTATTTACGACAATTCGTAAGAATATTTATTTCCATAAGCACTTTTGCCGCTAGAGTCAATAAATTTTCATCTTTTTTATGCTCATTCCTTTTACTTTTTCTTATCGTATAGGAAAAAAGAAGCGATTTAATGTCTCTATTTTCCGTTTCATTTAACGATAGATGTAAATTGAAAAGCAATTAAGGAATCTTGTTTTCATCAGAAATCCATTCTCAATGCGATGTCGAATAAAAGAGTATAAATTTTCGTTATTCGACACATTTATGTGATGTGAAGTTAGTGATAGGAAAATTCTCGAGAGCAATTAACTGATAAAAAAGTGAAAAAAATTTCGTTTTCTTGAAGGAAAAATCCAATTTAAACTTGATTTGTGTATGTGACTTGAAAGCTAATGCTTCAAAGCTTTTGAATTGAAGCGCATGTGAAGGTTTGGAAGTGTTTGGCAGGCTGGTGGCTTGAATGGAGCTGTCTAGCTTATTAGAATGTTAAAAATTTAACTAAGGCACTCAGCAGAAGTTTATTGTCGCTTAGACAAAAAGAATTGTTTAAAACCCTAGTCTAAACTAAAAGGTTTAATATAAGTGTGAAGACTACTCTTGTTTAAGTGCTAAAAGTTACTTAAATACAGTATTTTAGTGAATCTTCGTAATCAAATGGACCAGCTCATCCAATTATATAACAAAACTTTCTATTCAACAATCAGTTCAATTACCAATCAATTCAAACGCACAGCATTAATTGCAGTCAAGTATCCAAAGTGCGCCATAACACACCAACAAAATAGCTATAGTTGTACATAAAAATCATTGTGCAATTGAAACAGAATCTAATTCATTGATAAGAGTAAATTCTCATTGGTGTAGAAGCGTCGGAAGTATGTATGTGCTTAAAAATCCATTTTAATTGATAAATGTCGTGCGATAAGGAATTAAATGCCATTAAAATTAATTAAATTCTGTAATCCACTCAGTTATTTAATCTAATTTAAAACCTCAATAATACTCAGCAATCTTAAATGACACGGCTTATAAGGTTTTAACTCTTATCATGCTCAATTTTCAAAATTTCAAGTTTGAAGCGGTTTCTCGTGTACGATTTTCTATTTGCTTGCGCGGCAAATATTCTTATAAGTTACACAAAAAAATAAATATTCGCGCGATTTCGAGGCATGCTTTTTCGAATGTGACGACTGAAAATGTAAATATTTGTCATTCATTTAAAAATGCTTATGACAATAAAGCTGATGACACAGTTACCGAATGTAATAATTAACTCAAGTTCACAAAACAATTTGACGCTGAATGATTTAGTAGAATAAAAGTCGAGCCCACAATAATTTTTATTTGATTATTTATTTATTTATTGCCTACGAGTGCTTTTAAATGGGGAATTAAATGTTTACATAATAATATTTTGTTGATGTTTGTAACATTGCTGCAAGCATTGTTATTGATTGGCAAATAAAAATTGATTTTCTGGTGGCTTTTAAACAATAACTTGGCATCAATTTTCATTATTAAAATTTTTGTTGTTGCCACAAGCTTGATTCTTACTTGAAACTTCTTGCTCTTTTATATTTTTGTCATAGTTTTCTTTTCCATGCACAACCAACCGTTATTATTAAATTTTCTATTGATTTTTTCATAAAGTATAAAATAAACAAATATGATCGAAATATTTTTTTTTCTGTGCTGCTTCTTATTGCTTCTCGTAATCCTCCCCCAAAAAATCATTTCAGTTTTCGTTCGGTTATTGTTGTCGTTGGGTAAATATTTTGAATCACAAATTGACATTGATGTTGCTCGTATAAGCATTGCAAAGCAATTTTACGTAATTGTGTATATTAAATTGCAATTTCGAATAAATAGAATTGGAACCATTTACTATGACAACTTATGCAATGTTTGGTTAGCAAAATTTTCATATTTATTCGATCTTTGGAAAAATTTATCATGTTCAGCAGATGATTGGGATGAATTTATTGTTAGCTTTGTAGCTATATTGGCCAGGATTTTAATGAGAAATTCGAGCTCAGTATGATCCAACAAAATTGATTTCAGGTCAATCTGGAATACAAAATTACATTCCATAATACCTTCCTGAATGTACTAGACAGCAATGTTACAAACCTTGATCAAAATCACATATTCCCGATAACTCAATTAAACATCATACGAGAAATGCTCCAAGCAGAGATCAATTGATGCTTTATTAGATGTCAATAACGTTGAATCAATTTTTTATATTACACAGCAATCAATGTCAATGCCTGAAAAATACATATATTTAACACATGCTTTGATGTGCAGAAATGAACGCTGTTCTGAACTAATTGAAAATATGACTGGGTGAATGGAAGCTCTGCTCGGTCATCTGAATAATTAAATTATAATGAAAATAAAAATTTTTTCAACCCCATTTTTTTCTCCTTTTTATCTTTGCAGTGAGACAACCAAAGTGTACGGATCGACAATTTCAATGTAAGAGCGGTGAATGTATTCCTATTAAATACATATGCGACGGCGAATCAGACTGTAAGGATAGGAGCGATGAGGATCCAACAGAGTGCTCTAATATAAGTAAGTTAATTATTCAGGAAATGATGAAAATTTTATTTAAAATGTATCTTCGGGTTTTACGGTTGGATGGAATGATAGAAACAAGTGTTTGTGAATTGACTTTCAGGAGTTTTATCAAGTTTTAAACTCAAACCTCAGTTAGTCACAAACTTTTCAAAGCTAGTAGCTATGATAAGATATTATAATACTGGGGGTCCTCGATTTGAGTAGATTCTATTTGAGTAGATTCGATTTGAACAGAAAATTTTTTACCCACCAAAATATTCGATTTGAGTAGATTTCTTCCTGTTTTCTTCGATTTGAATTGTTTACAAAACAAATATTTTTGATAAAAACATTTCAGAAAATATTTTTAAACATAAATTTTTCTGCCATAAGTGTGAACTTATCATATTGATCGAAAAATCAATACTAAAGTTACAAAAATAAAGTAAAAATTTAAAAAATCGATATAAAATTAACGGTTTTAAAAAGTTCAAATTCAAAAACCCTACAAATTGTTCGGTTAAATAACATTTGCAAGGTTCTCATATTTTTGTTTTGCTTCAAAAACATATTTTTTGTGAATTTCTGTTTAAAAACAATATGAATATGCGTTGAAATAAATTAAGTTATCTAAAACACATAGGTAAAATTAAGAAAATAGGTAAAATGTGCAAAAAATTATCAAAATTTTCATTGTTTTGATACATTTTTTGGACTCTGGAACAAAACATGTGATTTTGTATGGATTCTTTGCCTCGATTTGAATAGATTCGATTTGAGTAGAAATTTTTTGGAACAAAACAACTACTCAAATCGAGGACCCCCAGTACCTTTTAAAATTGACAACATAGAGATAAACAACTTTGCAAGCTCAAATGACGTTCTTCTGCTATGATTTTCAATTACCAATATCCATTACAATCAAAAAGTTCAAAAATACTTTTAACGTATCTTCATTACACCCTTGAGTAGCACCAACACAAAACACATTGCATAAAAATCATCAATTTAATAACAGAGTCATTGAACTCTCAAATTTCAAGTTCCAAACTTCCGTTAAATTAAATTTTACCCTCAATTAATTTCCCAAGAGGATGAAAAATTCAAAATGACTCTCATCCTAGTCTGTAAAAGCTATAATGACTTTCTATAAGCTAAATTAATTTGTCATGTCGTTGAGGAAGAAGAAAAAAATTTGGTGCTTACAAGTTGAAAAGAATCGCTGATACCTTTGGGAGAAATTTGTCAGATTTATGATTCTTTTTTGTGTGGAATCACATTTGAGAATTAATATTGTGTCTTGATGGTATGAGAGTTGGTTTTTATATTATCTTTATCTTGGTCAATCATCAATACTTCATTTTTATTCGAATCCAATTTCGCTACAAGGATTAAACTCATCTTTAAATAAAACTTAACTTTACAGACATAAATCAAGATACATTTCATCATGGCAAATAATCTTGATGACTGGCGTCAATAAACAATAAGATTTTATTGATTTTTGATGTTCGTTTGTTTGTCATTTTTTTATTCCATAGACAAATAAAATTTGTTTTTCAAATAAAAAAGCTGTGGAAAAAATTTTTAAACTCAAGAAACGTTCTGTGCAGAAAAAAACTTCGACTATCAACTTCAATAAAAAAGTTTTTCGAAAATAAAGTTGATGGATGTCGTAAAAAAGTTGAATGCAATACACTTACTTAGAGTGATTTTCTTACAAATATTTTCTTTCTTGGAAGATTTTAAAGCAGAGTGGGTGCTTAGTAAGATTTTGAATGACATTTGAAATATTTAATCTTATCAGGCTGCTTTTTTATATGAAGTCTTAGACCTCAAATCTATTTATTTTGATTTGATTAAGCAAACAAATAGAAAATTCAAATGGAACCTTGACAAAATTGTAGATCTGGGAAACATTGTATTAAGGATTTGTTTAAAAAAAAACTCAATTAAAGCTACAAGATTACTTTACAAAAAAAGAAGTCCTGACATAGAAACGGTTCAACTAAGCGTAGATACTTAAATATGCTCACTAGGATTGTCCAGAAACTTTCTTAAAAATGTGCGCTTTTGTCATTTGCATTGTTATTTCAATCGTTGCTTTTTAACTTCCACGAGCTTTTATTAAAAATAATGAAAATCGTGATGAATGACTGATAAAATTAAGAATTATTAATAACAAAAGCGTAACATTTTATGTGATGAAAATTTTCATAGTATCCGAGATATAAAACAGAACCTGAAAACTATTCAATTTATTTATTGTCATTTTCGCCTAAAAGTTATGCAAAACTCGCATTCAAAAAAAAATAATTTCATTCATATTTTTAGCTGCTCACAGTTTCTATTATTCTACACTATTGTCCATTAAAAGCATCACATGAAACATTGAATATAAAAAAAATGACACAAAAAAAAATATATCCCTAGTTGATTAAAGTTTAAAGAGGTCCTTTTATTTTTAGAGGGGAATGAATTTTTTAGTATAAAATATATTTTGTGAGTCAGATAACATCATTGAATTTGTGTTTCGGAATTAAATGTTGACATTTTTGCTGTGACCTTTTTTTGTTATTCCGAGATGATCTCGTGCGATTTATTTTAGTATGAAAATTTTCATTGTTAATTATGTTGAATGAGTAAAATTGATCAATAATTCAATTGAATTCTATTTTTATAATTTAGAATTTATTTTGGTTCATGCTTATTATCGATTTATTAAGGGTTGGAGGTCATTTACTAGACAAATCTATTGGATAGCTAGCATTTTTAATTACAAACATTTTTTGTCATCATTAAAAAATTAACAATTACAAAATTTGATTGAGACGAAGGTCGCGTGAATAAAAATAGCCTAGCTTCTCTAAATTGTACGAAATAGGTCAAAATACTCATTCTGAGCGATTAATAAATCACATAAATAATTTTTTGGCTTTGCATTATTTCAATCGATTAATTAAAAATCCACAATAAATTATTTGCCTTAAATATTTACGCAAATAGAGCAAATTTCAATTTATTTAAATAACACAATTTTGATATTGCAATCATTTGATATTATCATGATTGATTGACATTAAATGTGATAGAGTCTACAAAAATGGATTACTTTTAAATGCCAAATTTTTGCGGTAAAAAAACAACAACCCCACAGCAAGGATAAAAGATCAAAAGCATCAATAAACATAGTTGATTGATATCTTCATCCATTATTTATGTACAACATAAAAGTACTCTGTATGCATTTCAGATCTGTTCAAAATACCTCGCTTTTTGATGCAGAAAAAGGCATTTTCAATTTACTCGATATTCCTCATTTTGATATGAAACTTTTAATGCACAACATGCAAATTTACTCAACACAAAAGTGGAAGAAGAGCAAAAATTCATTAAATGCGTTGAGAAATAAAATGGAAATTTTATGCACACTCTTTCACTTAAGTGCCTCTATGTATATTGCACAACATTCATCTACCATAGTCAGACTGACATTAAAAGAGGAAGAAAAATGGAGTAGAAGGAACGTTTCATTTGTTAATTTTAGAATAATTAAAATTGTATTAAGAGCAACAGCAGCATCTGGTAAAATGAACCCAAGCGCACTCACTCCTCAGAAAGCAAGTTAACATGTTTCAATTAGGAGAAATATTGCCATTCTTCTAGCTTCCTTTTTCGAGTTGGTTGCTGCGTCTGTGTGGATAGCAAGTAAGGTTTTCAAACAAAAAGTTGTTGTGACTTGACTGCCTGGCTATCTACGGATACTTGTTTGTGATAAAGCTATGTTGAAAATCAGCCTAGTGATGACAGAGCTTACAGCTTTGGTTGTCTTACTATTTGACTAGATTCAGTTTATGATGCCCAAAATCTTGAATATGCCTAAGTCATTCATGGAAATCCTTTGTCTAGAAATGCGCTCCCAACAAAAATCATCAAAGACTATTTAAGATTCAAACAGCTTATACTCAACTACATCATCAACTGAACATTTTTCCAGTTCCATACTCAACTAGCATATTTCTCTGTCATGAAAACCAACTAAGTGAATTTTCATTTAAGCTAAATTTGAAAATATTTTTCTTCTGTATTCTTTTTACATTTCTCCTTTTCATGTTGGCTTTAGTGACTGTGTGGAATTTTTTATGCTCTCTTTCCATTTTTTTTCCTTTAAATATTTGCATTTTTAACCTCGTTAATTATTTCACTTTCTGTCTTTGCTCATTTTTTTATGGCGTTTTTCACTCTCGTGAGATGAATTTTGTGAAAATATTTCTCAAAACCATGAAAGAATTTTTTTTTAAGTTAATGAAATTTTTCTTCTTGTTTCAACGTGCGTGCTTTAAAAGTTGTTTCTGATGAAATAGTTGTGCGACTTTAAAACATCTCTCTATCTCTTTGTGCATTGAAAACATTTACTTAATGATATACTTACGCACTGCGAAGAACATAAATTAATAGTTGCAATAATTCAACGATATTGAATCAGACAGCATGCAAGAGTGATGAAAAGTTTTTATGAAATTACAGCTCATAAAGATACCAATTAAGTATAATTTATAGACCGGTTTTCTTTGTCTTGATTCTGCTCTTAGCGATTTTTCTTCTTTACTTTTTCATTGATAGTAAATGTTGTGTTAATGAAAGTTGAAAAGGTTTTGAAAGATCTATTGAGTTGTAGATTTTTATCAGTTTTCTAGTAAATTTCATTTTGAATGATATTTATTTTTGAGTTTAGATTATCTTAATTACTTTTTCACTAGAATTTGTTAACAAAATTGATCGATTCTTGAATATTAAGAACCCCTAAGCCCCGCAGCGTCCATTAATATAAATGAAACTAATTCGATTCCTGTTATTATTGATTTTGATTCAATCACGGCATCGCATATCAATTTGTCGCTATTTTTAATACGTATTAGCTTGCTATTCATTTCCAATAAACAACAAAATTTGTATTCGACCCAGTTTTTTGCGAATTAATAATTTAAATTACATGTAGCCTAGTTCTGAAAAAA